TATTTAAGTTGAAACCCCCATAGGTAGAGTCTATGTCTACTAGACTGCTCCCTCAAAGCACCTGGAAGTCTGCTGGTCCTTGGAAAATGTTAAATAACTCAAAGTTGAGAAATTGCAAACACATGTAATTTTTCTAAAGCAGAGGATACTGATTTCAGAAGGAAAATAAATATGTTAAAAAATTACTCATTTCTTAACTAATGTTCCCAGTCATTCTTTGGAAATGCTGGATGGCATTTGGGGTGATTAAGAAAGGAGAAATAATTTATGTGAGTGTCTGTGTGCTGTTTCTTAAAGTAGCTATTAAAAACCCAACTGAATAGCGTGCATTTTTCCATTCTCTGGAAAGCAAGAAATATAGAACTGTTTTTACTCAAACTTTTCCAAAACAAATCACCTTTTGTGATGGAAAATGTTACCCTAAGGAGAGAAATTTTCAGAAAAATGATGAGTGAGTGAAAGACAATAAAGCACCAAATAGAAACCCTATTGAAAAAGAAGCGAGAACTTAGGCCACAGGCGTGAGTTGAACTGCAGCCTGTGTGCTGGAGCTGTGTCTCATCGGTGAGCTCTGAAGTAGGACAGACCTGGGCTCAAAGGCATCTGTGCCTGTTACCTGAGTATCCTGCAGTGCCTTGTCACCTCTAAGCCTCACCTTCCTAATCTGTAAAATGGGAGTGAAATACTTTCCACACAGGCTGCTGGAAAGACTAAATGAGATTATGTATTTAAAGTCCTAACCATGTTGTCAACTACTGTTGGGAAGGAATCTAATCTCCCTCTATCCTTCTGGGTCCATACAGCTGGAAAATAATTACATTGACACAAGGGAGACTAACAAAAGACAAATTTTCAGTGCACATGGAGATCCAAACACCAAACAGAGGAACAAAGGATCTAGTGATCCCAATGAGGTTCTAGGGGCAATAAATCTAGGAGGGAAAAATAGAACAATGAACTTTGCAACTTAAGGAAAAAGAGATCTTGCGGGATTTACCTACAGGTGCACGGAAAACAGAACTTGCAAACCCTAATCCAGGGTGCCAGGCCAAAAGGGTGTCTCACCTCCTGGACCATCACAGAAATTTATTTCCCTTGTTTTTAGGGCCTTCCTTGAGTTTGCATGAGGGACTTCAAGTGGCAAGGAGACACTTGAAACAGAAGTGGGGGAGAGACCCATGAGGAGGCTGACAATAGCAGCCTTTATCTTGATTTTGATTTTGCTCTTTTCCTTCCAGACTTGCCTGGCCCTTCTGGTCCTTTTCTGTGGGTCCCCACCAGAAGGTGCCTTAGTCTTGTGGCAGGATTTTGGGCCTCAGCTGCTTTGCTTTGGGCCAACTCAATATGGCTGGGCATTTGCCCATGAGGGGATGGGTAGCTTTGGGTGCTTGATTTGGAAACTATATTCTTTCTCTTTCTCTTATCTCTGTTGCACACTGATCATATCACAGTTCTTTTTCTATTAAAGGTCTTACACATTAGAGTATGCTTTGTCTTGATGAAGTGGATGGCAGAACCCATTTAGAGAAGGTAGGTTTGGAGATCCAGAGGTGCCCCTTATTCTGCCCTATTAAAATATGGTAGCTGCTACTGATCTCGATACAGCATCTCCAGAAGCCCCATCTCATGTGGGATTCCTTATAGACCCAGTGTCTGCTCTTGGAATTATCCCTTATTTTATCACCAGGTTTCATGTGTATCCGCTGGGGATTGGGACAGTTTGTTTTTGTTTCTTGGCTAGGAGTTGCTTGATCCTGAAAGTCTTGTGAGAAAATATAACAAGGAAGAGGTACTGGCACCAAGCCTAAGGGTGGAGGAAATAAGTGAGGGAGGACTGAGCTACTTAAAGTATGGTGATATCATCTGGCCAGGTCCCAAAGTGACCAGGCTGAAACTCGAATCTTGTAAACACTGTGCCACAAGGAATTTGCAAGGTAGAGCATAAGACCGAGAGTTTGGGAAACACGGCTGATCCTCTGTGTGATGTTGGACAACTCCTTTGGGATATTGCTTCATATGGACAGCAATGGCCATCACATCTGGTGGGCAATGATGAAGTCTTTGAAACACCTAACACACAGGCTTCAATCTAACCTGTGATAGCTGTTCATACTCTTAAAATAATTAACAACAGTTCCAAAAGTCTATGAAGAGGATATGAATTCTTTGGGGATGAATAGGTATTTCTTGACGTAAGTTTCTGACTAAAAAAGTGTAAGAAAGGGACCTCACCTTTCCACATCCTGCACTCTTGATCTCCTCCCAGACCAGCACCCCAAGTTTGATCATACCAGTCCTATGCAGTCCTAAGTTTTGGGGGGTGTTTTTATTGAACCTGTGAACACACAATAGACTCCTACCTTTGTAGTATTAGAAAGAACACACCTTGGAGACAACCTGGTCAGTCCTCAACATGACACAGTAACACCCAGAGTAGTAAAGGGTCTTTCCCAAGGTCACACAGCAAATGGTACCTCCAGCCCTCACTCTGCTCAGACTAGACCCACATGCTTCAACTTCAAGTCCACTTTGCATGCTTCCCACTCCATGTTTAATACTCCCAAATTCCATTTTCCTTTTCATGCATTCCAATTGCCTCTAAGAATTGTTGGTCCCAAAAGCAAGAAAATCACTCTTTCTTTGTCCCCTAAAGATTTTATTCCCAATACTCAAGCAAGCATGGCAAAAGTCAGTAAGTAATATCAGGTTATTGAAGAAGAAACCCTGCTTAAAATAAAAAAGTCATTTTTCAGAAACTGGCTCCAAAGTCATTTTTCAGAAATTGGAAAAAAATAAAACAGAGACTAGAAACAGGGCAGGAAAGTCATAATTGATCCAAACTGAACACATGTAAGGTCCAGGGCTCAGCCAAAGGAGGCAAAAATAGCCAATTTCTTTCAATTACCCCCATTTTCCATCCCCTAATCTAGATGAAGACTGTCATTTTATTGGCTTGTCAACCTTTAGGAAACTTGACCCTGTTTTTCATTTATTCGATTATTCCCCAGTCCCAGGCCTCCAGCCAGAGAAAAGCATGGGCCCTGGCTAACTCCTTGCTTCCCAGAGTGGCCTCTGCTTACATACCTCTGTCCAAGGAGCTGGTCAATTCTCTATTTGGTTACCTCTCATTTCCAGCTTCCCTAAAGTCCACGTCTCCCCGGGGCTCCAAGAACATGAACTTTGAAGTTAGCCTGAAATGGTGTTTTAAGCCCAGCAGGGCCATCATCTACCTGGGGAACCTTGAATATTTGCTCTCTCTGAGCCTCAGTTTCCCAGTCGCCAGATGCACACATCAACCATGACTTTCACTCAAGATGCCTCATAGTGGACAGCCAAAGTACCCCAAGAGGTTCCAGGGGCTTTAAGACTAGTGATCCTCAGGTGGTTTAGTGGAACACGTGCATATATGGTGAAAACGGTTAAAAAATAAATGTCAAAAATATAAATAAATAAAAATAAATTATTTTTAAAAAAGAATTAGTGATCCTAAGAAATGGGACTGGAGGTAGGGTTGGAGAGCTTGACTAAAGACACTGAGAAGTGCTGCAGAAAGAAATCTGTGGCCCTTATTTAAGAATTTTCTACACTTTTTTAGTCAGAAACTTATGTCAAGAAATAACTGTCCATCCCCAAAGAATTCATATCTTCTTCATAGTCTTTTGGAACTGTTGTTAATTATTTTAAGAGTATGAACAGCTATCACGGGTTAGGTTGAAGCCTGTGTGTTAGGTGTTATAAAGCTTCATCTTTGCCCACCAGACATGATGGCCATTGCTGTCCATATGAAGCAATATCCCAAAGGAGTTGTCCAGCATCACACAGGCAGCCCAGGCAGAATCCATACCCAAGTCTGCCCATCTCTGAGGTCCACAGCCTTTTCCCCATACCATATGCCCCCTTTCCTCTGCCTTCTTCCCAACCTGAGCTGCAGCTAGTCATTTTAAATTCTACCGAATCAAGCATTCAACCAAAACCCCAAGACCAAGCTGATTGCCTTTAGAGAGAAAATATACATCCGAGTCTCTAGAAGATACTGCCCACAATTCACCTACCTCTGGAGCCTGCTTTCATAGAGCAGCTCATGCTACATGCTTCCAGAAATATTTCACTGGAAGACACAGAAGTGGAATTCTAGTAGTTTTTGTACAGTTGAGTCCTAGCTTTTCTCTAATATGTGACTGAAGTAGAAGTCAAGGACCATGTTCTCATCTCAATTTCATCTCCGGTTATGGGTATGTCCTTGAGTAAACCTTTTCCTCTTCTTCCTCTCTAGATTTCTGATGTGCCAACTATGAGGTGAACTGGGTATACTAGATAGCCAACCTAGATAACTGGGTATACTACATAGCTAACAATCCTTTACATGATGAAATATTGCTGGGTTTACTAGGTTTGGCTCCCTGGCTCTGTCACTGACTGTGTAACCTCGGGCAAGTTACTAGATCTCTATGTTCCTCAGTTCTCTCATCAGTCCACTGGCATTAAATCATAAATCTACTTGAAGGGTAAAGTGACATAACAGTGGCCAGTGCTTCCAAATGTTTGATAAACATTAGTTATCATTATTATTAATATTAGTTGTGTTGTGAAGTGCTACTCAAGAGGTTACAAATCCCCAAATGCCCTGGTTCCTAGACAGAGCTCATTTCTTGCCCACAAAGGTTATCCCCTCCCTTTCTCTGTCCCCTTCTCCTCTTCACTCACTCCATTCCCACCACTACCACCTCAGCCTCAGGGTCTGAATTCCTCAAAGGGGAGTCTCCAAGGAGCCTCAATAGAAGCCCCCACCTACCCCGGCCATGCCTGAGCCTAGAAAAGCTGACCGCTCACAGCTGGGCCAGGCTTGAAGTGACCACTTGAGTCACACAAAGTTGAGGGCAGCAGCAAGGTCGCCAGAGAGACTGAATGGGTCACCAGCCCATTCACTGACACCTGGTGCTCTGCCCATCCCCAACCCTCAGGACCTCCAGGTCTATTGTGAGGAAGGAGGCCTCCTTCTCCACTGGGCTCAGCCACCTGGACATCACAAAGGCCCTGGCTGCCCAGGGCTGCCCCCAGAAGGGGCTCACACCAACAGAGGGTTTCATTGCGGCAGCTGGACCAGCAGGACGTGCTGAGTAACAGTCAAACACGCCAGGATTTCTGCCACGAGTCACGTTTTTTACTTGACGATTAAGAGCAAGTGCTGGAGAGGGAAACAGGTGAGCTCAAACACAGCTGTGCCACTGGGCATCCTACCTGTCCCCATGTCACCTAGCCCCAGCAAACCTCAGCTCAGTGAGAGAAGTGAAGAAATGAGATGTGGGAAACTCGCACACAATAAATCTTAACTACTAGTATAACTTTTACTTTGCCCCCACAACAACCCTCAGATAGAAATTATTACCATTTCCATTTTCCTGATGAGGAAGTGAAAGCTCACACTGCTGAAAGGTTTTGGAGCCTGGGTTCAAATGCAGCTCTCCCCAAAATGTCCATGCTGTTGCAATGTTACTCCTGCCCTGGAATGTTGGACTGCCTGTCTAGCACATTCTTTTGTGGTGGAGACAAAAGTTTGTCTATCCTCCAGTGACTGAGATGAGCCAGGCACTGACTACAGGGTCACGGATACAGAGAGAAGCAAAAGATGCCCAGTCTGCCCCCACAGAATTTATGGGGTCAGCAGGGCCCCAGTGACTGAGACACAGAGACCAAATCAATAGGGGCAAAGGAGTGTAATTCCCACATGAGACCAATGTTCTCAAGTTGTGCCATCCAATATGGCAGCAACATGCCAGGCATCTATTCAAATTCAATGTTGAATTAATTACAATTAAGCAAGAGGAATAATTCCTTTCTTCAGTCACACGAGCCCAACCACCAAGGTGTCTAGAGGAGACCATACCGGGTAACGCAAATATAGAGCATTTCCTTCATCACAGCTTCTATTGGGAAGTGTTGCTGGAGAGGAAAGAAACCAAAACTACAAGCTCTGGGGTTCAGACATTCAGAGGCTTCCCCTGAGGCATCTGAGCTAGAACTGGAGGATGAGGGGAAATCCAGTGGTTAAGGTCAGGGAAAGGGCAGAAAAGCACAGCAGGGAGGAGAGAAACACCACTAAGGCTGTAATGGGAGGAAACCATGTACCTGGAAAGTGAAGAGGGCCTGGAATGGTTAAGAGCCAAGTCTCCAAGGGGCTGGCTGCCTGGGTTTGAAACCCAGTGCCAGCACTTCTTAGCTGTGTCCTAATTAGATGAGAGTTACTTGACTTCTCTGTGCCCTGCTCTTCCTGCCAATAAAATGAGGACACTAATAATAATAATACCTCCCTCCTAGAGTTGTCCTGAGGGTTGAAAGTGCCTGGCACATGTTTAGCACTATCTCTGTGTTTGCTGTTATTATTCCCAGAGGTAGACTGGAGTTGAGCTGTGCGGGCCTTATGGGCCACGGAAAGAATGTTGGTCTGTATCCTAAAAGCATTGGGAAGCCTGGAAGCCTGAAGTGGGGAAGGGTGACCTGGCAATGGAAGGTGACAGCAAACATCACTCAGTCCCAGGCAGACATTGGAATGTGGGACAATGACCTAGTACTGCCAGGCCTTCCAATGTTCCACAAGAGACTGAAAGTCCAGATTTTTAATATGAAGTCTCCCCTCTGTTGAAAGAAGATTTCTTATTCTGCAAATTTTAAATATCTCAAGGGACAAACTAACCACCTGGTAGACTTCTGGTCTACACCACCCTCCACGAATCCCCAAATCTCAATAAACCAAAGTCTGTAACCAAAGCTGCATCACCTGGTGATCCAGTTGGCACCAGGAAGAAACCAGTGGGTTGCCCAGAACGAAAGTGACCCAGCAAATGAATGACCAAATTAAATCTGAACCACATTGCTGTCCCTTGGGTCTGGAGGCTCTCTGCACTCAAGTCCAAGGGTCCTGAGACAAAGGTGCAGACAAGCTGCACAGTCTCCTTGTTATTTTTTTTTAACCTTTGGTGGTAAAAAGGAAATAGATGAAAACCATGATTGTCTTTTTTCAGAAGTTGTTAAATTAATGTATTTTCAGCCCTCCATCAAGTCCATCCAGAGAATGGAGTCTTCTAACTCTCCCTCCTCCTCCTGGACCTCCAGGGGCCAAGCTCAGGAGACAGCAATTTAGAAACAGGAGGTTGCTCTCTAGCAAGGTGGGAATCTTATTGGGTAAAGCACCCCAGTTTGGGTCTCCACTGAATGCTGGAGATTGGGGCTGAGGCTGAGAGCTGCTAGCAGGGGTCCAAGCTCCTCTCCATCTGTCCCATCACCCTGTGCCCCTCCTGTACGTAGATGGTGGAGGGGAGGTTATGGTTATGGGTTACCCATATGTTTCAGTCCCCTTTGAGAGCAGAAGAGGTGAAACCTCATAATACAGACAGACACAAAATGCTTCCAGATCTTAATCAAAACCATCAAAATCAGACTAGGGTAGTGTTGTTCATTTGCAGTCTGTAGCTTGAATTTAGGGGCTCCTTAAACATGGACAAGAAAAATTTGTATCTTAATTCTTACTAACCTTAGCTGAAATGAAGTAAGTCTAGCTAAGATGACTGTAGCTAACAAAGCACAGTGGGATTAGCAGAGCCTGGGACTTTGCCACACACTGTAATCCCAGATATTCCCATATCACATTTCATTTGTGACAGCAACTTTGGAAGAACATTTATGTGCATCCTGATATGAAAACAGAGGCAGTTATTAGATTTGCTGCTGGATATTATTATTCACACCTATCTTAGAAGCACCTATATTACCATATCACCAATTCATTTTTTTGATTGGATTCAAAGCATAAAAAGATTAATTATCCCTGGTGTAGGGAAGGCAGGTGAGGCCTTTTGAAGGATGGGTTGCTTGAATTTCAGGGTATGTATTCAGACAGACAAAGGAAAGGGTCAGGGAAAGGCATTTCCAAGTAAGGAACAGCTTTTGGAAAAAGGTTCAGATGCTGTGAGGCTGCCGACGGCCTCTTAAGCTAGGGAGCATTGAGTGTGTCTGGAAGCCCATTCAGCTTGGACCTCACCATGATGGAGAGCCTCAGCTTTAGGATTTAGGGCCTAATCATCAAATGAAGTTGTGTGGCCATGAAAGTTTTCCTGCATGTGTTGAAAGTATTACTTAACCAAAACATTTAAAATATATTAGAATTTTCCTAACTCTATTTTGGCATTCCTTTACTTTTCTTCAAGGAAACTCTTTTGACCTTGGAGGGAGTAAAGTTGGCCAAGAGGGAAGCACTTACTGGAGATGGGAAAGAAGATGAGTTTAATAAAATGAACAAAGGTCATATCAAAGGGCTGGGATTTGATCCTGAAAATCATGGGGTTTTGTTGCTGTTTTATGTCATGCAGTGACACAATCAGTGTAATGTTCATTTGCTGATTTCCCTGCCAACACCCGTTCCAGATTTCTTTTAAAGGATTACCTCTCTTCAGTAACTCAGAGTAGGGGAGGGGCATGTCACCCAGAACTGGCCAATCAAAGCACAAAATTCTCCAAGCCCCAGTGGGTGACTGAGAGGGGAGCCTATCAGAATAATTCCATCCTTCTGATTTACAGGAATTGTCTCAAGGAAGGATACGTACCCAAGCGGATCTAGTCATAGAGAATCTGGGAATCTGTGTAAGCACTATTAATAAATGAGTGTCCCTCATATGCTGGCTCGAGCATATACTTATATAGAAGGACTTGAGCCTAAAGAAAGTGGCTAAAGTAGCTACCTTGCTTTTTTACAAAAACTGAAGTTGAAGCTAAATATAGGAAAGCAGAGTCAAGAGGTGAAAAAAGGTGGGGTCCTGATAATATTGCACCTCTATGTGAAGCTGGACCAAATCTACACTGGATTTTACAGTCCAATAAGCTGATAGATTCTTTCTTTTTTTTTTAATTGAATATTGCATTATAACATTGTGTAAGTTTCAGGCATACATCCATCAAGTTCATCACTGACAGTCCAATTCTCTCCTTCCCCATATCACTTACCCCATTTTAAGCTATTTCAGTTTTGTGTCTATTGGGTTGAGTTTTCTGAAACTTGCAACCTACAGAACCTTAATGGGTATGACCATATCTGGGTTTATAATCTGCTGACAGAGGAATGATCAAGGGGTTCCTGCAATGGATGCAAGAAGACCCAGAACTTCAGGGTTGGAGATTGTTCTAGTCACTTTCCCTAAGGAAGGCTGCAATAATACCAGGCAGCCCCATGCTTCCAGTGGCCTACAACAGCAAGGCTTATTTTGCACTCATATTACTGACTCTGACTCTGTGTCTTCACTCCAAATGTCTTCCCCATTCCAGACTGGGGAGCAACTCCTATCTTAGTCTCAATGCAGAAAATAACAGAAGTTGAACTATGCAGTGGCCCTTGAAGCTTCTGCTCAGTGCTGAGTCTGTCACGCCTGCCCACATTTCATGGACCAAAGCAAGTTGGAGGAGAAGTAAACATCAGTGGAAGCACTGGATGCTGTGTGTCCATGGGCAGGGTGTATAATCCCTTAGGAGAAAGGCAGTGACTAATTGGAAACAATAATAGTATCCACTACCAAGGCTTGTTAAGTGACTAGGTTCAAGCACCTCATTTGACAGGAGGGGAAACTGAGACCCAGATTAGTTAAGTAACTGGGTTATAGTCACACTGGCTGCCAGTGGCAGAGCAAGGGTGAAGACCCAGGTCTTCTGGTCCCCGGTCCAGTGCTGTTCCCTGCTCCCAGAGTGCTCCCCTCCTGGTCCTGTTTGGCCAATGAGGAGCACCTGTTTGAGGTTGTCCTGTCTGTGACCTTCCATTCACTTGTACATCATGTCTCCCACGACAGAAACCTGGATGATACTCGGTGCAGAAAAGAAAAATCCAGATTCATTATTTGTTTGTCCCAGGTGTCTAGTAAGAAGAGAAAATCATTTTGAGGTATCAAATTGAGTCTTGGAAACAAGTGTAAAAAACTGTGGTTATGCATCACCTTTGGACTTACAGATATGGATTGGAATTGGGGCTTTGGAGCTCCTTTCTTATGTTCTGATTGTTTCTTACCAGCTTTTTATTCTGCAGAGAAAAAAAATAAGTCGTTATTGAATACCTAAAAGGTGCTAGATACTAGATTCAATATGTGTGTCAGTAACATTTATTATGTGAATTTTCCCAGATAATTAGGACTTTTTTTTTTTTTTAAAGATTTATTTATTTATTTATACAAGCACTGGGTACAGTCAGAAGCGCGGGAGGGTGAGAGAATTCACCAGAGCCAGAGCCGGGAGCAGAGCAGGCAGAAGGACCGAAGTACACTGCTGAGGGGAGTAGCGGGCGGCAGGAGAGGTGTGCGCGCCAATTAGGACTTTTTTAAACATTTCTCGAGTGACATGTTTCTCTCCACTCTCGACCTCCCTTAGCGATCCTGAGAACAAAAGAGAAGCCTTGTTATCACATGGTGCTCCCATCTAAACAGTTCAGCAATCAAATATTCTATGCCACTTATTTCAATTTTTAAGTATGTAAATTCATTATAGACACTGACCTTGGAAGAAGTCACTGTCTACTGTTTCTCCAAACACCTATTCATCTGAGTGCAACTGAACTGACCTTCTAGATCTGAGCAGGACATGTGGGATTGTCCCAGCACCACTTCCAACAGAGTCCCTCAATGATGTTGGGGGTGCCCTGTGTACCCCAAGATAAGCGTTAAAGCCTGTCAGGAAGCTTCTCCAGTCTCCCAAGTTGAGCCACTATGTCTTTGATGCAAAGAGTGTAGGTTAGGCATCCAGTAATAGCTACTAGTTGAGGGAAATGGGTGAGGTCTGTGCCCTTAGCTGGCCCTCACCTCATCTCTGCATCCTTTCCCCTTCTACTGTGTTTTCCTTTCCCCTGGAGTCAGCAACAATCGTCTGAGAGTCTCTCTTTACCAAGTTTCTTCATTAACTAGTACTCATCCATCAGCTCACCCAACCCTCAATAAAAGCTCTGTGTGACAGAGACTATTGTCTCCATGTACAAAAGATGTGAAAGTGAGACATAAGAAAAGGAAACTGATCACTTGGGGCCAGACGATTGTGGAAGCAGCATTTGAAACCACATTTGCCAGCCTCCAAAGCCATGCGTGGTAGAATCATTCATTAACAAATGTTATAGAGCACCTGCCATCTCCAAGTCCTGTGTGAAACTGGAAATAGATGGCAAACAAGACCCAATCCTCATGTAGCTGATTCAAAAGTCATTCAATAAATGTGGGAGCTCCCAGCGTGTGCCTGGGTGACAGTCGCTCATCATCTGCTGGCAAATGCAAACATATTCACGTGCAACTCACCAAGCAACCTGCTAAGTGTCCCCTTGGTGGTATGTAAAAGGGTAGATGAGACCAGAGAGTGGGAGCTGCATGTTATACCACCTGCCTTGGCCTGGGCTTGACAAACCTTTGAATAAGTCGACCCAACTCTATTCTCCCCCATTCTAGTCATCCCCTTATTTAACAATTTGCCAAAACCCAGGACCTGAAGGGATATAAAATGCACTGGCCTCTGGCCTATTCTTTGCAGTAAGACAAATATATTGAAGCGGTGCCTTCAGTCGAAATCTACTACCACTCTGTCCAAAAAGTCAAGCAGTGTATTCACAGCTCAGGAAGAAAGCCTGAGATGGTTCTGGAGAAGTCCAGGGATAACTGCAGTCAATTACAGACGGTGAGTGAAAAGTGAGGTCAACTCCCTGACAGCAGGGCCTGAGAGAAGCAGCGAAATACCACAGAACCCCCATTCTCTGTAGCCCCAAGGACACAGCCTCTAAAAATAGATATACAATACCACCAGATAGGCTGTGGATTTCACAACTGCTGGCCCAGCACAAAATGTTTGGCTTTGGCCAAGTCAGGATGCAATGAAAACCAGTCGGGAAGCTGAGCATGACCAAGATCAACATTCCCCAGAACAACAGCAGCCCCTCTGTCCATTAGGCCTTGACCGTGACGCTAAATCAACCACTGCCCTTAGTCCTTGTCCAACTTGCTCTGCAGCTTACAGAAAGCTTGCCTAGGATGCCAGGGACTTTCTAAGATGTTTCATATCAGGGACACTGGGGTGGAGGCACTTGTGGACATTTGCCCTGAGAAGTAAAAAATGAGTGAGAAATGCCCATGATTTCAGTATAAGGGGAAACATAACTGCAACTGTGGGGTGTGGGTGGGATGGGATAAGAAAATATTTTAAAGAGGAAGTAATTACAAGCACATGAGAGGGAGAAAGGACATGGGCAGGCTAGAAATGTGTAAGAAACTGAAATGAAAACAAACAAGCAAGAAAGGATTTGGCATTAGACTTGTGGGTTTAAAACCAATTTTAAAGTTAATAATTCTACTCTACTGACGTATATCTGTTTTTATAATTTATGAGAAACTAATGAGTAGGTAGCAGATGCCAGAAACTGCTGTCAACCCTTCCATGTACTATTTCACCTAATTTTCACATCAACCTTGCAAAACCGATACTAAAATTATTCCCATTTTTCAGATAAAGAATGCAACTTGGGCCCTTTAAAGCTTGAGCAGACCTTAACAATTACCTTAACCAGTGGCTCCTAAACTGATTTGTACATCAGAATCCTAAACTGACTTGTACACCAACAGATTCTGGGATCTTGTTGTAGACACCACCACATCCCATCAGAATGGGGGACAGGAAAGGGCCCAGGAATCTGTGTTTACAGAACACCTGAGGTGATTCTCATTAGACTGCCTTGCTTGGAATCCACTTACCAACCCAACAGGCCTCTTCATGTACCAGAATGGAAAATGGAAGCCCAGAATGTTCTAGAAACCTGCCCATGGGGACCAAGCTGCTGGTAGAGGTAGGACTAGAATCCAGGGCTTGCGAGATGGCGCTCTTATTATCACATCAGACATTCCTCACTGGATTCCTAAGAGGGAAAAAAAATGGTCTCTTTCTCCTCTACTAAATCACTAGATTTGACATCATGTCCCCCAACTCTTACCCAAATCCTTCAACTCAATTAAATTAGGGTTCACTGAGCACCTACTAAAGCTATGCCCTGTACTTGTGCTAGGAACCCCACAGTGAGTAAGATTAATATGAATCTTGCCCTCATAAAGCTTACAGTCCAACTGAAAAGAACACCTTTAAAAATATAACCAACTCACTGAATAGACTGGAATCAGCCAAGGGCAATTTTATTTTCTCATCATTGCCCCTTCAAACTTATTTTATCTTCCTATTCTCTAGAAATCGTAGATATGGAAACTAGATCCTATATTTATTCCAGCCACTCGTAGATACTAGAGACTAGCCTCATACTTCAGGTAATTTGTAAAATCCCATTTGGCCAAATGGCACAGCACCAATTTTTCACCCAGTTTAAAAGTCCTCCCCTCCTTGGCCTGGGTCTGGCTCAGGCTTGGAAGCTACAGTGGAGAAGGGGATGATGTGGGCTCTTCTGCTGATCCTTGTCCTTCTCCCTCACTCACCACTTCTTTGGGGCCAGAGGGAGGTCCCCAGGGAGCAGGAAGGACAGATGGGAGAGGTAAAGAAAGTAAGAAGGCCCATTGGAGCCAGGGTCGTCTATGAATGGGATTAATGACTTAGTGATTGATGAACGGCACTATTAATGCAGGTGTACGAAACACTTGGCAGCCTCCTTGTGATGAGGGCTGGACCTCCCCCGTCTGACTTCTCAGCTCAGTCCTTCCAG